TAGGGAGGGCTCCGATTGCACACATCGCATATTGCACACATGTATTGCTGATTGGCCAATTTAAAAATAAAATAATCTCATTGGCAAAACAGTAAAAAATTACTAGGCACCAGTTGATATGAGTGGTGTGTACAATCAGAACTGTAGGCAAACGGGATCCTCCCCATGTTATATATCGTTGTCTCGCTCAAACGCATTCTGTTCTCATCTAACATATTGCAACGCCATCTCTTAGAAAGAGATCAACTAAAATACTGCTCGGTTTCATGGCTTCACGTCAATTTCACTCGTAATATACAAACGAAATTTTCGGCAACTCTTTTCTCTTATACTAAAGCCGCTACCTTGTTTCTAAAAGCATAGGATTGTTGTTCGAAGTTTTCTGTAGGTTGCTGGCTACTTATTTTAAACGGGTAAAATCTGAAACTCTTAGGGTGATGTCCCATGCAGCGGATCGTGCGTAAGCGGATTCGCGTATCGCCAATCACAGAATCATTCTCAGATATGCTTGCGAAATTTGCAAACAGATCTAAGAGAATGATTCTGTGATTGGCGATACGCGAATCCGCTTACGCACGATCCGCTGCATGGGACATCACCCTTATAGTACGTCTCCACTGAGCGCGTCACGCGTCGCGTCGTCCGTCGCATCACGACGCGATACATGACGCGCTCAGTGGAAACGTACCATTATATGCAGCACAATTGTGATGTGTCGACTACAGAAGCCGATAACAAAACTGTAAGTCTTAAATTTTCTTTTGTTTTTCGTATTCAATTGTAGCTGACGATTTGCGTTGTTGCCGATACTTTAATTGTAGAGAAGGACTTTTCAATTCATAAACACAATTAAGAGAAAAGAGTCTTTGATAATTAATAGTAAAACAGAACACATTCCAGCATCCCCTTTTAAGGGAGTCGGGAGTATTTATATTGGCCATAATCAAAGACATAGAGAATGGACTGTGCGATCCGTATCTAAGTAATGTATCAAATGTGGTCGACAAAATGAGAGAGAGGGAATGTGGGAGATGGCCAATCTCCCTCTCATTCTCTCTCCCATTACACCATTGAATGGAAAGAGATAGAAATGGCCATCTACCACGGTCCCTCTCTCTCATCCCTATCGACCATTTTGACATACAGATCGCGCAGTCCATTCTCTATTGGTGAATTCGATCATTCGCACTACATTGGATCAGTGCATATTAAAAGCTGCTTTACATAAAATATCTCAATGCAGTGATACAATATAATCAACTTTGACAATGAAATTATACATATATATTTTGTTAAATAACGTGACTATATCATTAATAGATAGTTAATTATTTAAAATATTTATATACTTTTACATTTAACTTTGTTAATTTCATGTAAAGCAGCTTTTAGTATGCACTGATCTAGTATAGTGCAAACGACCGAATTCGCTATATGTCTTTGGCCATAATCGTATGCTGTAATCTGTACAAATTGACCAATCATCTTCCATTATTCTCTTTTTTACCATCGGATGAGAGGGGAATACTTGACTGTGATTAGTCAATTCTTATAGATTACAGTGTGCGGTTACGGCCAATATAAACGCTCCCTAATTCATTGAAAGAATGAGATTTTTAATTTAAATTAATGTTTGCATTTTTACTGTTTTTAGGTGGAAAAGTAGATGAATTTTTGCCACACATTGATATGCTTCTGAAGGAACCCGAGCTTGGAGAACTTGCTACTTCCAGTAATTTTCAGTTTCTTATAAAATTAATATATGAATATGCTTATCGAAGTTATTGATGTATTTATATTGATGTATAAAATATTCATGAGTATAGTTGCGATTATATTTTTGTACAAAAGGAAAGATTTATGAGATATTTATATAATAACAATTTTTCTTTTTAAGAGCCCAGACTCAAGCTTTTGCATAACGCATAACACATAGTGCATAAGCGAATCAATTAATCAGAAGCTTTCCTTTCCTCTCATTCCATGAAAAAGAAGAATTTCGATTGATTGATTCCATTATGCACTATGTATTATGCGTTATGCAAAAGCTTGTGTCTGGGCCCTAATACTTTTGAAGTTTTCACAAATATTTTCTTCAGAGGTGTCAAAAGATTTGCAGCAAACCTTTTTGGCACCTCTGAAGAAAATAATAGCGATTTCGATTGGAAACACCAACGTGCACTGGTGCATATCAAAACCGTTGTACATTGTTAGATCACTATGAATGCAAAAACGAAATGGAAATTATTAAATACATGTTTTATGAACAGTACAATAAAATATATTTGGGATTGTACGATTTAATCTGTTTTTAATACATATTTACGGCAATTTTGTATGATAGTTTTATGTGCACTAGTGCATCCCACCCGTAATCACTATTCATTGTACAACGGTCTTTATATGTACCGGTGCAATTGGTGCATCCCAGCTGAAATCGCTGTAAGTACCTCCGAAAAAAAAGTACTCACATGACCTTTTTGTCGGTGAAGCGGCCAATTTGAGCAGGGTCCCTATACTGCAAGGGGCTCCGCAAAATAAAAGGAACGCAGTGTGTATTCCACAATACATGATTTCTGATAGATTGAAATTCTTATTCTCTGTTCTCTGTTCCTTTTATTATGCGGAGCCCCTAACTGTTTTACACGCCTACCGACATTTGTCGGTAGGCGTGTAAAGACAGTCAGAATAGGGGACTGCTCATACCCTAAAGGTGCATTTTCATGCTGATGTTCGATTCGAGCGTCGGCATGAAAATACTACTTTAATTACAGCCCAGTAGAAACTTTTGATAAGCGTATCAACTTGGTCAGGGTATCTATTATGGAAATAATCGGAATGGATTCCGATCGGAATTATTCAATTATTCCCTAGATTTCTATTGTGTTTTCTAGGGAAAACGGAATAATTCCGATCGGAATCCATTCCGACATATTTCATGATAGGTACTCTGATACTATCGTGATCGGGAGTACCAGACTAAAGCCTGCCGCACACGATACATTTTTTCTTATTGGATTTCTAACTGGATTTGCTTACTTGCTACCGTACGGGCGGCGGTACTGGCAGTGCTACTGGCCCATAGTGTGCTTCACACGGTGCGAGTTTTCGTACGGGCTGAACAACTGGAATTTGTTTGATAGAAGTGGCACGCTTAAATGTGAATGAGATAGATGAGATGGATGAAATCGTCTTTGTAGGCTTCTATTAAACATAAAATACTTTCTTTGGACCATTTTGCAGCCTTTTCATTTCTTCACTACGTCATATTTGCGAATTGAATCCACTTTTGAATTTGATGTATAGACGACACTTTGATCTGCTTCGATCGTATAACCTGGTATAACCCAGTATAACCCTATACAGATTGCGTCCTGATTGGTTCTCACAAAATCCAGTACAAAATCACGCAAGAAAAATAGGACCAGTTCTATTACGAAAATCCAGTACGCGAGCCAGTAGCGTAGCCCGTAAGCTACCCATTTCCGGTAGGGGAGCACGTAACCCCGGATCTACAATAGGTATTTTAAGCCTTAAGCCGTAAGAAATTGATCAATTACAGTCGAATCCGAGAAGAATAAGCGACTGTGATTTGCTCATTTCTTATGGTTTAAGGCTTAAAACTCTATTGTAGATCCGGGGTTAGACTGCCAGTATAGGAGCACGTAAGCAATCCAGTAAGAAAAAACGTATCGTGTGCGGCAGGCTTAAAGTAATCCTCTATCGTTTATACCGAGCGTATCAAGTGATTTGATATAAGGCCTGTTCTTTTTGACTGAACTTTTGCACCAGTTCATCTTTCCTCCTAGAGAAAAAAGGAAGAAAGATGAACTGGTGCAAAAGTTCAGTCAAAAAGAACAGGCCTATAGAGAATGGACTGCGCGATCCGTGTGTCAAAATGGTCGATAGGGATGAGAGAGAGGGACCGTGGCAGACGGCCATTTCTATCTCTTTCCATTCAATGATGTATGTGTGTGTGTGTGTGTGTGTGTGTGTGTGTGTGTGTGTGTGTGAGAGAGAGAGAGAGAGAGAGAGAGATTGGCTGTGCTGCGGCTTTTAACCAGTCTGAAGCGGGGAGCACAGACTCTTGCATAACGCATAACACGTAAGTCCGGATCCTCATACGAACAACAGCGCTTTGACACCGAACGCTGATTGGTGAAAAATGGCTGATGGGGGTAAATTTTACCTCCACAACTGACTTTTCACCAATCAGTGCTCTGTGTCAAAGCGCCAG